CCACCTGTGCAGACAGAGGCGGGAGAAGGTCTTGGCTGGGCATGGACAGGCTCCTGGCCCTACCCGCCGGCGCCGTGGGGCACTCACGCCTCACACTCGTGCTCGTCCTCTGCCTGGAAGTGGTATGTCCTGTTGTCTGCAGGAGAGAAGAGGGCATCAGGCTACAGAAATCCCACAGACTTTAAACTGCTACGTCAGAAGGGCTTCTGTCCCTGTCCCCAGGTCAGGGCACAGCACTGGAGAGTGTGTGTGCGCAGGGCAACCTCTGAACCTGCTGTCACAGCCCCACAGGTCCCTTAGCCTCCTGCTCTCCTGCTTCTCACGTCCGCCTGGGCAGAGCCTGAACTGACTCCCATCATGCTGGGTCTCTCATCACAGTGCTCCAGGACCTCAGGACTCTACCGCTAGCGGGGTAAGGTTCAGTCAGACCCTCAAGAGACTTGACTTCCCTCTACTCCCACGTGAAACTTCCACTCTGCCCAAACTGGCAGGACACACTTGCCGGCTCCCATGCCTGTCATCATGCCAACCTGTCTCCTGACCTGCGCCCCATCTACATTCTTGGGTCCTTCCAAGCTGAACTTCTCCAAGCAGCTCTTCCTGACTCCCCACAGCACGGCAGGCTTTCCATGGGGCTCTTTGTACCTCTTCTGGACACTGCACTTGATAGACCCGGGTCCCTTCCTCACACCCCTGAAGGAGAGAGGCTCCCGAAGGGTGAGATCTAGGTCTTTACTCAGCCTCACAGAAAGCCTGGCACCAAAGGCTCCAGAGGATAAGTGAAGACTTTAAAGGAATAATAATGTAAAAGCCAGATTACCCCAAACCACTGAAATACACTTTATATAATAACCTAACCCTAATGTTTATTGTGAAGGGAGGTAGAGCCTTTAAAACGTGCCCAGGCCCTGCAGAGTCACAGGCCTGTGGTTGCAGCTATGATACTAGGTGGAACTGGAATCAGACCCCTAACTGCAGCCTCTGGGGAGTGGACAGTGCTCTTGGGGAAACCCTGGGCAGCTGTGGGGGCTGGGCAGGAACCACTCACGGGTCACCAGGTCGAAGCATTTCTTCTCCTCTGGGTTTGGCCTCACTTGGCATGTAAACAGGGTCAGCTTCACTGGGGGCCGATTTATCTGGGGGAATTTGGGGTGGGGGGTATGCATATTACCTTTGGACCTCCTGAATACCCCAGGCCTCCATTTCCCAATATGTCAAATGGGTTAATAATCCTGTTCCAGTTTATATTGCTGTATTCCAGCACCTCAAGGATTGGGGGCTCTGGATCCCACCCTTCCTCCCCCAAGGGTCTCCAGTGCCCTGGATCCAAGTTTGGTGGACAGTCTTGGAGGCAGGGCTTGACATCTGTCTGCTCAGATGAGAGGCCTCACCGTGCTGTGTGAGATGGTCAGGCAGCCATACTTGACCCCACACTTCCTTTTCTGCCAGACTCTTCGAATCCTAAGGCCCGGAGAGATGGAAATTCAGTGACCTAGAGCTCACCCCTAACTCTCCCATAGAGAACAGAGTCCTGGCCCCCACTTCTGTAACCTCTGGTCACAACTCTTCACCTCTTCCCTCCCCAGTCCCTAAGCCCCCCTCACTCTCAGGGCCCTTTCTGACAGAGACATGGTCCTTCCCTCAGGAAGTTCACAGTGTGAAGAAGAAACAATCCTCACTCCCTGGGAACCCTTATTCCAAAGGGGATGATGTGATATGTGAGGGAGGAGATTCAGCTCCCAACATCAGGGAGATCCTAGTGTGTGAGGAAGAATAGGCTCTTAACCACAACAGGGAAATTACAATTAAACAAAGCAAGATAAATACTGAGACCCCCAAAATAAGAAGCAAATCCATGAATCAATGCTGCTTAACACTTCTCTCATAAGAGTTAAATATTCAACTGGGTGTGGTGGTACCCGCCTGTAATCCTAGCACTCTGGGACACTGAGGCAGGAGGACTGAAAGTTTGAGCCCCATGCAGATAATTTAGGGACTGAGATGACATCTCAAAAATTAAAAATAAAAAATCTGGGAGGCTGGGGATGTAGCTCAGCAATGCAGCACCTGCCTGGGAAGCATGAGACCCTGAGTTCGATTTCTGGTACTATAAAAAGAAAAACAAAATACCGGTGTGGGGATATAGCTCAGCATGAAGGCCCTGGGTTCAATCTCCAGTAATACAATAAATAAAGAGTTGAACATTCATCTTCCGCTTCAAAGTCCTTCTCTCTAAAACACTGACAGTAAGTGCAAACATGAATATATCTCACACAGGCCTGTTACAGTTTAGATCTAAAACCTTCTCTGAAAGTCTCATGTGAGAAGAAGTGGGGCTTGAGGGTGGTGCCTGGGACACAGGGCTTGATAGCTTCACGGCATGGATCCACCGCTAAGATCACAATCTGGTGGCATTATGGGGAGATAATGGAAATTTAGGAGATGGGGCCTAGTTGAAGGGAGAGGATCATGGGGGTGTAGCCTTGGGAACTCTTTTGTCCCTGATCCCTGGTCCCTTTCCCCTTCCACTTCCTGGCTTCCTTGAGGTGAGCGGCTTTGCTCCACTCTGCCCTTCCTGTGTTTTCTGCCTTACCTCAGGTCCACAGGCACGGAACCAGTAGACTATGGCCTGAAACTTGTGGAATCCTAAATAAATCTTTCTTTCAGTTGTTTTTCTCATGTATTTGATCACAGCTTTGAAGAGCTAACAGCCTTTTTCAGATTTCTTTTTTCTTTTTTTCTTTTTTTTGGTACCAGGGATTTAATTCAGGACCTTGCACTTGCAAAGCAGGTGGTGGCACCACTGAGCTAAATCCTGGCCCCAGATTTCCCTTTTTTTTTCCCCACCAGGGAGCCACATGCCTCTGACTATTCATTTTAAGGTGGATTCCATATACATGGCTGCTGAGGGTCAGGGTGTAGTATATGCTCAGTAACTCTTAGCTGCTGCTATACTTGAAGAACAACTGGTAACCTTTACCAGAAGTTCACATGCCCGGGTGTCCTTGGATGATTCTGCACTGCCAGAGTAGAGGGACCTGGAACTTTGAAGGGTCTACACAAAGGATAAAAACGGTCCCTCTGGGCAGCTTCCCTGACCCTCTCATTTTCTAGCTGTGTGCTTTGGGCAAGTTGACCAAGTTTTCAGTTACTCACCCATCACTTTTCTTGTACAGAAAGCCCACTTTCTCTGTCCCAAACTGCTTGTTGCCTTGGTGCTGGTGGATGCTGTAGCCACCCCCAGAGTTCTTCCGCCTCAGGTGCTCCTGTCCTCAGACATGCAAAGGAGGCTGGGGCTGGGAGGGAGAGCCTGTGCTGGGGGCCTCCCTTCTCCCTTCTCCCTTCTCCAGGTGGCCTAAGGAAGATTCAGGCCTCACCTCTCTGCTTTCGAGCTGCAGCGACCCTCGCAGGGAGTCCCGGAGCTGGGTCAGCTTCTGTAGCTCCTCTTCCTGGGCTTGACGCAGCTACAGACAGAGGACGGGACCCCGTGGCCAGCCAGCAGATGTGCCAGGGCACTGCCTGACTCCATGGGCAGGAGGGCTCGCCCACAGCCACAGATCTTCCCTAAGGATAGGGTCCTGACCACGTGCCCAAGGGCAAGTCCCGACTTACTGTGTGGACTGAGGCTGCCAGCTTCTCGATGAAAGGAGACAGGCTCTGAGCTGCCTTCCAGCCATCTTGGAAAAAGCTAAAAGGGATCAGAGACCAAAGGAGGATCCAGAGAGGGAAATAAAGATAAAGCCGCAAGTGTAGGAGAAGCTCTAAGGACCACAGGGCACCCTGGAGCACATGCTCTGATGGGCACTCAGAGACAAGAGTGTCCGGGTTCAGATCCCACTTACTAGCTGTGCAAGCTTGGTAAATGGGCCTCAGTTTTCTCGTCTGTAAAGTGGGGATAAATGTTATCTGCCACAGAGAATTGGGGGACAGAGGGAAATCATGCATATAAAGTTTGTAGCGCTTGACATATGGGCACTTGGCAGAGACAAATTGTAACAGTGTTGGGGCTCTGCCAGCCCCTGGAGAGTTGCCCTGTTCTGCTACCCTAAGGGTGCAAGGAGGGATGAGGAGACACCTACTTGTGCTGTGCATGGAAGAACTTGATGAGGCTCTGGAGGAAGTCGGGACCTTGCTTCATCTGACTCTCCCCAGCTTTGAGCAGGTACTAAAGGAGGGCGGGGTAGGACATGTGATGCAAAAGACAGCTGGCTTCTGAGCACAAGGCCATCTCCACCTTTGGTTAATTTTCTTGGCTGTGACTGATCCTTGGTGACATCTCACAGGCCATGGGGCCAGGACCTGAGCTGAGCCTGTGCCTGGGCCCTGGGGACTCAGGAAAGGCCGACAGGATGATACACCCAGCCCCCATCAGCACACAGGACACCTTACCTCACACATGTGCAGCTGGAAGATGCGTCGCTCCCGCTGTGTGTCCTGGGCCGCCTCCCCAGGGAGTCCTCCTGTCACCCTGGCCCGTTCCCGCTCCTTCTCCAGCCTGGCCCTGCGTGGCAAGGGAGGCGAGGTCTAAGAAGCTCCCCCCAGCCCTCTCCCATCCACCACCTTTCCGTCCTCCTCTTGGAGAAGGCTGTACAGCGTGGAGACCACGCAATACACAAGCCCCTTCTCCTTGCCAGGGCAGACTCAGGGTGTCCAGAGAGTGGTGGGGAGAAATATGAATTAAGTCACAAGACAGAGAGTGACAGGAGAGTAAAATGGGACCCAGTCTCATCTGGGCTGTGCTATCCGTGTGGACTGGAGAAGCCGGAAGAGCTAGCCTGGAGGGGGCCCTAGTGGGGCAGGAAGAGGAGGCCTGCATCAGCCCAAGGTGGAGGGGAACAGGGACCATGCAGACAGCGACAGGGCGAGGGAGGGGATGCTGGCTGGGGCACCAGGGGCCAGACCCCTCTAGGCCTGGCTCCAACAACATGAAGCTCTTTAGTCTTTAGTCCCAGAACAATGGGAAGGGTTTGACAGTAGGACACATCAGGCTCCGATAAGGGCCAAGTGGGACTTGTGTGACTAATTCTGATTAGATGCAAGGGATTTAGGGTTGTGTAGGTTAGAGGACTACAGAGTGCTTTCATCCTTCTGAGCCTGTGGAGTTTCCCATCTAAGCTTATAAAACCTTTGTTCGGGGCTGGGGGTATAGTCCAGTAGTAGCACATTTACCTAGCATCACAAGCCTTAGGTTTGATCCGCAGCACCACGAAAAACAAACCTTTATGTCTGTTTGTTAGTACTGGGATTGGTACCAGGGCCTAGGCACTGAATTACACCCCGAGCACTTATTTTATTTTGAGAAAAGGGTCATGCTATGTTGCCCAGGCTGGGGTCAAACTTTTGTCGGGGGGAGAGGGAAAGAGGAAGAGATGGTGAGGAGAGGGAGAGGGAGGGAAAGGAAGAGGGAGAGGCAGAGAAAAATATCAGTCTTGCTGCATAGTTCAGGCTGGCTTGAACTTACTATGTAGCCTACTTTGGCCTCAAATTCAAACTAACCCTCCTGCCTCAGCCTCCCAAGTCCTGGGAATACAAATGTGCCCACCACACCTAGCTGTTCTTTTCTTTTTAGGTGGAGTAAGAAAATGCTTTCCATCCTTGTAGTTAAAAGGAATCTGGCTCTTTCCCCCACAGATCTCAAGGGCTGGCTGTTTTCCCTTGTGGGGATGGGTGGGTCAGTGTGTAAGTGATTCTCGGAAATCTCACGGACCTCAGGCCACTCACAGGCAGCCAGGAGAGTTTTTCCACACCTCAGGCTGGGCACATGGAACCACGAATCCCATGGAAAGGAAACACCTTGCTTAACAGTTTTGCTCCCAAAGGAGCTGCAGCCCTGAGCAGGAACAACAGGATGGGATCAATATGGCTCTCTCTCCTGTTTACTGGCTGCATCTCTGTCTACATTACTGTCCACTCTCTGAGCCTGTTTCCTCATCTGCAAAACGGGGATCCTTATCTCTACTCAAATGAGATACAGGGCACAAAAGACTTAGCACACAGAAGACATGTGGCTACTACTCTCGTTCCTTTTCCCAACTGAGGAAGTTATGGGCTGAAGTACGTCATGGGATGAAGTAAGTCATCACTAGTTCAAGTCACACAGCTGAGAAGTATGGAGTCAGGATTTGAACTCAGCTCTGTGTGACATAGCACCTTAGGGGAAGCTCTGGGAACCAACACTGTTCTCAGATGGGTTCCACCTCTCCTGCCCTGCCTGGATCCCACCATCTGATGACAATAGTCACGCTGTGTCTTTCATCAGTCACAGCCGAGGACCATCTTCCAGATGATAAAGCTGAATCCCAGAGAAGGAAATGACTTGCTCACGATCACCATCTGGTGAGTGGAAATGCTAGGGGCCAGTGCCTGGGCTTCTGCCTCTCGGGCCCACCGTGTTACTGGGTCCCAGCTCCAGCTCAGAGAGATCTACAGCACTGGGTGTGTTACATGGGCTGTGCTGATTTTACCTCCACACTGAACCCGCACAGTTTTGTGGGGGATTGGTACAGCGGATCAAACTCAGGACCTTGTGGTGCCATTGAGCTAAATCCCCGGCTTATTAGGCCTGTTTTACAGACAGGAAACAGACCTATACCTGGAACAGCACAGATAACCCTGTTCTCTGCACAAAGCCTGGCCACATTTCTCAGCAGCCCTGCACGGAGAGGGGACCCTCTTAGTACCTGAGTGGCTGGAGGTGAGGCTCTGAAGTTATCTGACAGCTGCCACTAACACCTTGGGCCCTAACACTTTGTGCTGCTGTGCAGGCTGCTTTGGTAATAACGGTAGAATCACACCACAGCTTGCAGCTCATTAGCATGTGGGCCATACCTGGAGACCCCATGAAAAGGAATGCACAGTCACCTATGTCAGGATGCTGCTCAAACTGTGTTACTCTGTGGCAGGAAAGAACTGGGTCCTAATCCAGGACCTGTCAGTATAGCCAACAAGATACCATTTAGTTGTAGGTCCTTTTCCCATCAACTAAATGGTGTCTTGTCCTTTCTATTTATTTTTGAGATAGGGTCTCACCATGAAGTCCAGGCTATGTAGTCCATATTGATGTGGAACTCACAGTCCTCCTGCCTCAGTCTTCAAGTGCTGGGATTAGAGGCATATACCACTGCACCCTACTGGTGAAAACTAAATTTAAAAGATTGCCAGGTGTGGTGGTGCATGCCTGTAATTCCAGCACTCTGGAGACTGAGGCAGGAGGATCACTGTGAGTTTGAGGCCAGCCTGGGCTACATAGTGAGTCCCTGTCTCAAAAAAAAGTATATTAAAAAAAAACAATAAATGGCAATGTGAGAGGTACAGGCCTGATGGGGTCCTGGCGAAGGGCTGGGCCCTGAACAGGGTGCTTAGAAGACAGAGCCTGAGGAAGAGTTTCTAAGTGAGAAGAGCTGGGCACTGGGTGCTCAAGGGTCCTTCTGTCTCCATGATGTCCTCAATGGCTAGTAGGAGATCTGGAGTGTGGAGTGGTCCACACAGGAAGCTGGAGTAGGACACAAACTCCTTTTCTTCTACGTCAACTAAATGTTCATGGATTCCACCTTGTTTTGAAAAACAAGTCGGGGATATGAACCGCAGCCCTGCCTCCGCCTAGCTGTGTGGGCTCAGGTGGTGGCTTCACTCGTGTGAAGTGGGTCACCGTAGGCACCACCACAGCTTCCTTCTGGCGACCTCAGGGCCCAGACCCCAGATTACGGCCAGACCTGGGTGCAGAGAGCCCCACCTGTGCCTCCTGTGAGCATGAGGCCCATGCGCTGTGGCTGTCATGTCCTGGCAGCACATAGGACAGTCCCCACGTCCGCCTCCTGCTACGGCACAGATGCCTCCCTCCTGGACAAACCTCCGGGCCGCACTTACACTTTGGCTTCGTAGTCCTTCCACGCTTTCTCTAGCTGCTTTCTGGAGTCCTGTCATTTAAAAGAGAATAACGTGCCTAAAGGGAAGCTGGCACTCTGGAATAATCAGGACACTCTGCTACCTTCAGGTGGACCCTGCCCCTCTGTTCCCCCCTACTAACTGCTCAGAGCTGTTCTCCAGCCAGTCGCTGCCCCACAGCCGCCCACACTGAAACCCTACCTCCCCCAACCAACCCCATTTCCCAGGGTTTAGCCCCTTCTCCCACCTCCACCTCATCCTTTCCAAGATTCCCTAGAATCAGTCAGGTTTGTGGACCCTGGCCTGGGGTGAGAAGATCTCTGGGTTTTGCCCTGAGTCTTGTCACTCAGAAATAGAGATGGACCCCGAGGATGAGGATGGGAAGATGAAGGACAAACTCCTTTCCTAACTTCATCCCACTATTTTTACTTGCCTGGTACTGATCACCCTCTCACTAGGAATGGTTTAGGTCAAGAAACCTTATGTAGAGAGAGGCTGAGGAGTCTCCCCAAGGTTGCATAGCAAGCCAGTGAGACTTGGCTGATCCCTGGCCTGGGGTGCTCACACCCTTCTGGCTTCCACAGAGAAAAAGCTGCCTGTCTGGTTCCAGTGGTTCCCAGGCTGGTGTGCAGCCTAGGAAGGGGAGGGAACCTTCGGAGGGAGGACAGCTCCTCCCCTGGGCCACCTGGGGCACAGTGCCCAGGGAGATAAATCTGTCACTTTCTCTGAGCTCCACTCTGACTTGATTGGGGCTGCCAGGTGCAGAGAGCAGCCAGATTCCCACCCTGGCTCCTCAACCCACTATTATGGAAACTACAACTGGCTCACCTTTCTCCTGGGGCCTGCAGATGGGGACCAGAGCACCTGCAGACCCAACTCACAGGCAGTGAGCAGTAGGACAGCAGGGTCCTCCAGTCCCCAAGGACAGCAGTAGAGAGGCCACTGGTCAGCACTCCCTCTGTGACGGCCCCTCACTTGGCCTCGCCCTCAGCCTAACCCTTCCTCCCCCGTGTCACCCCTTCTCGGCCTCCGCCCTTCTTCCTGAAGAGACTCACCTGTCGCCCGTCCCTCAGCTGCCCCTTCATCAGACTGTCCAGCGGGAAAGAGACAATGTTGTTCAGGTTCTGAACCTAGAAAAAGCAGACCCCACCCCAGCCTTGGGTGACTGTTCAGCCCCAAGGATCTCAGAGCACAGTGAAGCACCGAAAGGCAAAGAGGCACCATGAGGGTGCAGGGAGCAGGGAGAGAAAGAGACACAAGGCGATGATGGAGGGGGAATGACGGGGTGGCGGGACGGCAGCCCTGGCATCACCTCATGACTCCAGAACAGCCCTTGTCCCTAGTCCCTCAGTTGGTCTCCCCTCTGCTCCTTAACTGGCTGCCAGGACAATGCCCACCAGACAGCAGACCCTTAGAACACACTAGAGTCCCTGAAACAGGGAGAGGATGGCTGAAGGCAGAGGAGGACACAGGTTCAGCTGACGCCATGTTAGTCACCAGTTACTGAGTGCCTGCCCAGAGTGGTCCCTGAACTGGCTTCCTCCTCATGACTACTTTGAGGAGGATACCACGTCACCCTAGTCTTACAGATGACAGAGACCTGGGGTTCAGGCAAAGTGGGTGGTGTGACCTTCAGAGCAGCAGAGCAGGGACTCCAGGCCAGTGCTGGGTCCACAGGCAGTGCTTTACCACCAAGCACACTGTCTCTCTGAGGTGATGCAGCCCCTGCAAGCCAGGAAGGACCCTGAGCAGGACTGCAGTAAATGGCCAGTCCAGTGTCACACAGCCGAGTGGGCAGGTGAGACTTTTCTGGGAGGCAGCACAGCCAGGTGGCACCCAGACGCTATAGCCAGACAGCCCGGGTTAAAATTCAGCAGAGGGCCTCGGGTACAATACTGCCTGTGTTCCAGATTCCTAGGCTGTGAAATGCAGACAGCAGGAGCACCAGCCCCAGAGCCATGTGCCAGGATGAAGTCAGTTTGTATATGGAAAGTCCTGAGAACTGGGCCTGTCTATGGAAGAAGCTGGTATCGTGGGGCAGGCCCAAGGTGGGGAATCGAAGCACCAGGGAGACAAGTCACTCAGGAAGCCATCAGGAGGGTAGCAGAGGCCACCAGGCCATGTGTGGGGCTGACAGACTTATGTCGTTGGGGACAGTTGTAGGATTTGAGGGTGAAGTAGATGCCATTAGGTAAGCAGAGGACACAGGGGTGAGGAGAGGAAATGGTGAGATCCCCTCTGCTCCAGGATGAAGAAAGGAAAATAAAGAGAGAAGAGTTAAGCAAGAAGTCAGAGAAAAAGCAGGAGAATGCAAAAGATGAGTCAAAGCTGGAAAGAGCCCCCAGGTCATGGGTCAGAGGTCAAGGGCAAACCCAAAGAAGGGACAAATTAACTCTTTCCTGGTCAAGTCCTAAAGACCACTGGATTTACTGTGAGCCTGGCCTGAGGGCTGGTGAGGAAGGGGCAGGGGTAGTGGCCTTACCAAGTTCTTGAAGAGCGCGGCGACCTCACGAGTGAACACAGCCAAGTTCAGGAAGCCCGTGGACAGCTCGTGGCTGTTCTGGGACAGGTGACTGTTGCCCAAGGACTCCACAGCCTCTCGGTACTGCTCCTCATTGTCCACATGGCCTGCACAGGTGGGAGGGGGCTCAGTGTCTATTCCAGGCTGGGCAGGGGTGCAGCTGCCCAGCAGACTGGGCCCAGGGCACCAAGCAAACTCACTCACCGAGGCCAGAGCTGTGGATTGCCCGCACTGCCTTCTTGATTCTCTGTAGGATGGCCTGGTCTCCTTCTAGGACCTGGAAGTGAGTGTGGACAGAGGATCAGAATCCTGAGCTGTAGAGACCCCCTGACTCTGTTATCCCACTCTCCAGATACACATAAAATCCGGCGTCCTCTGAACTCCACTCCTCCTCTATTCTATACCCCACTCTTCCACTGGACTACATAGAAGCCAGAGACCAAGGAGATCATGGACTTTCTCCCCACCGCCAATGCCTAACATGTAAACGTCTGATTCAAAGGCGTGTGATCCTGTTCAGACTAGACAAAGATGTTCACTTCTCTGAGCTTTAAGCATCTTCTCTGCAAAAAGGGGCTCATACAATGGGCTCACAAAGCTGCTGAAAGGATCCCTGATCTGACAAAAGTGCACAAAAGGTATGGTGAAAGACCACAGGAGGGAACACGGATGCCCCTTGTTCACAAGACACAGGTGGGGGGACACTAGGGCTCACTAAAGAGCCATGTGAGGACAAAGAATAAGGCTGGGCACCCTGGAGACGTTGGGTACTTGGGTCTGTGGTGGGGGCACCCCACTCCCACCAGTTGGGGGTACAGTAGATACCCAGGCCCAGGGCACAGACAGGCGGAAAGGTCAGAAGACATGGGTACAGCAGCCCAGGCAGCCCCGCTCCGCAGGTGCTTGTGTGGATTCTCAGAGATGATGCATGTGAAGGCTTAAGCTGATGCTGGGCACAGGGTGTCCCCGGGGACTGTGTCTATGATCGTCATCACCGTCGGCTTCCGCCGCCGCCAGGGAGGCCTGTCAGATTCCAGGCTCTTTTCCTACATGCTCCTGCCTGGCTATCAATTCCAGAGACTTTCAGATACAGGACCAGGGGACTATCCTACAGCCGAAGAAACAAAGTCAAGGAATCAGGAATTGATGAGAGGGCATTTGAGTAGACCAAAGAACTAAATGTTTCCCACTGAAGAGGCAAAGGCAAGAAGAGGGAACATGGGCATCTCTGTGATTCCCAAAGACGGAGCTAGAGAAACATGCTCACCAAATCCCTTCATCCTCACCTTGTAACTCAGAACACTACAAGGTGATTAAGGAGTTAGGATTTCACTCTGAAAGGCAGTGCAAGGTGAAGGTACAATTTCTAAAGAGATTCAGAAAAATCCCCATAAGGTACATGTGGGGCCTGACACATAGAAGGTGCTCAAGAAATGTTTACGCAGGGGCCGGGGATTTAGCTCAGTGGCACCGCACCTGCCTTGAAAGTGCAAGGTCCTGAGTTCAATCCTTGGTACAAAAACAAACAAACAAACAAACAAAGAGTTTACTTTTTAAACTTTGGATTTTTTCTAAGTTGCCCAGGCTGGTTTTAAACTTGCAATCCTCCTACCCTAGTCTCCTGAGTAGCCGGGATTACAAGTGTGCACCACCACACTTGTAAAAAAGGAATTTCTTCCTGTCTTCTGGCTAGGATGTATTTGAGTATGTGTGTATGTATACGTGTGTGTGTTGCCAGGGACTGAACATAGGGCCCTTGTATGCTATACATGCACTCTACCACTGAGTTATATCCCAGACCTTTTCACTTTTTTATTTTGAGACACAGTCTTGCTAAGTCACCCAGGTTACTCTCACATTTATGATCCTCTTGCCTCAGCTTCCTAAGTGGCTGGGATTACAGGTGTGAGCCTCAATGCCTGGCCTACAACACATTAGAGATGCTTTGAGCTCAGGTAGCCATCCCAGACCATAAGGTAGAAGCTGTTGTGGATGGTAGAGTAACAAAATGTAAGACTTGTCCCTGGTGAGTGAGGACTCAATCTGTTAGTCCTGAACTATTTATCTGAGGACTTCTACATGAAAGAAAAACAAGTATCTCTTATCTGCTTCCTGAGTATTCCATCACTTGTGACCAAGCGAGCTTTAACTGGTACAGGCAGGCATTTCACCTTAATCACCCACTAACTGTTCCCCATGCCCTTGTCAGACAAAAATCAGGAAACAGCTTCCCAGCAAGCTACCATTCCTGTCCCTACTGCTTTTAGCAATCAAGCTCACAAAGCTATTCATTCATTCTTTTAGAAGCCACAAACCCCACCTACCCACTAGGGATCAAACTCAGGACTTCGTGCTTGTGAGGCAGGCAGGGCACCGCGGAGTTAAATCCCTGGCCCCTATTCATTCATTCTTTCTACATTCACTGAATCTGAGTGCCTGCTAGGTGTTCATACTCTGTGTAAAAAAAGACACAATCCCATCTGCTAGAAGACAAAACAGATACAAGTCTTAAAAACATAGGCATAGGCAAGGACTCTCTGAACAGAACTCCAACTGCACAAGAAAAAGTACCAAGAATCAACAAATGGAATCATATCAAATTTGTTTCTGCACAGCAAAGGAAACAACCAACAGTAAAAGATAACCTCCAGAATGGGAAAAAATTTTGTGAGCTATTACATGGACAGAGGACTGACATCTAGAATTTATAAAGAACCAAAAAAAGAAAAATTAGACTCTCTCCAATTAAAAGGTCCAGTCAAAAAACGGAGCACTGAAATGAATAGACACTTCAGAGAAGATGTATAAATGGCCCATAAAATACATCTCTGGCCATTAGAGGAATGTAAATGAAAACAACACCGAGACTCCATCTTATTCCAGAAAGAATAGCCATCATCGAGAAATCAAATAATAAATGCTGGCAGGGCTGGGGATTTAGCTCAAATGGTACTGCTCCCTGCCTCACAAGCACGAGGTCCCGAGTTCGATTGCCGGTACTGGTACTACTACTACTACTACTACTACTACTAACAATAATAATAATGATAATAAATGCTGACAAGGCTTTGGGGGAAAAGGAACATTTCTACATTGTTGTTGGGAATGGAAACTAGTACAAACAAATCAATATGGAAATTCCTCATAAAAGTAAAACTAGAAATTCCATTTGACCTAGCTATGTTTCTTTAGGTGTCTTCTCGAAAGAGTTAAAGACATTATATTACCATGATACATATATACCCATGTTTATAGGAGCACAACTCCTATCAGCTAGCTCTTGGAAGCAGCCTATATGCCCATCAACAGATGAATGGATAAAGAAAATGTGGTATTTGTACATAATGGAGTACAACTATGCCATAAAGAAGGAAAAACTTAAATCAGACACACAAGATTAAATATTAGATGGTTTCTCTTATATGAGAAATCCAAAATATAAATGAAGAGCAAACGAAAAGATAATAGGAAACAAAGAGATAGATTTTTTTGTAAGAAAAAAGGGGACCAAGGGATGAAGGACGGGGGTAGTAAAGGGAGGGAAAGAGGATGAATAAAACAATGAAGAAGTGTTATGGCCACGTATCAACTCCCCAGGAATAATATAATCATCACGTACTGCAAATATACTAATAAAAAGAAGACAATCTCAGTGGTGAGGAGCAGCAGCGTCTGAGGAAAAAGACCACGTAGACAGTGCAATGTGGGAAGCTGGGCAAGCTTCCCTGCATCTGACAGTAGGGTCGAGATGGACAGCAAAGAAAGGAGCCTGTGCTGTGAGGCCTGCGGGGAACATGGCACAAAAGCAGCAGCCAGAGGAGACAGGCTTGCTCTGGGAGGGCGGCAAGGGGAGAACCCAGTTCACGCATCCGTGTGTTCATTCCAGCTGGCGTTCCCGGTCCTCTTTCAACCGGGCCTGACGCTGGGGACACAGAGGACACGGCACCCACCTTCAAAAAGCTCACAAACACACAGATTCAAGGAGATTTCCTTTCTCAGGGAAATAACTGCAAATCATTCCCACAGAGGGAGAAGTGATCGGCAACATCAACCCCGTTATATGACAGGGCTCAAATATTTAGGCTAAGGAAGTCGAGCTTATGGGGGATTTCAGATGGGGGCTGGGAAGGCAAGGCATCTGAGGAAAGGCAGAGAGGGCTCCAGGACTCTGTGATGACGGCTCAGTCAGGAGCTGAGACTCAGCCCCTGCCCCATCCCTCCAGACTACAACCCTGCGTAACACTAGCCCAGCTAGTTCCTCAAGTCTCTTCTTTTTTAAAACAGAGTAAAAAAAAAGAGAAGATAATACAGGGAGAAATGCATTCTCTGTTAACTCGCAGAATCTCCTGAGGCTCCTGAGGCTGGAAAGGAAGCAGCACACAGCAGGACTGGGCATCTGAAAACCGAGTCCGAGTCTCTCCGTGGCTGGTTTAGTCCCCCATTTGGATCAGCCTTGTCCTGTGCCTGAGCTGGCATAGGTCAGGGCTGTTACATGTTGGATCCAGAACATCCCCCAAGTCTCATGTGGGCACAGGCTTGGCTTTTAGAAGATGAATGAATCTCGGGGTCAGACAGCTGATTTGCTGTTAGGATATAGGGCCCAATGGAGGTCACAGGTGTGTGACCTGGAAGGGTGCATCTCCCTTCCCGACTCCTCTCTAGTCCGTCGGTTTCCTGGCCACCATGGCTTGAGCGCCTTTTCCTCTGCTATGCTCCTCTGCCATTCTGTTTCAGCCTCAGAGCCAGCCAAGGATGGACTAAAAACATGAACCAAAATAAACCTCTCCTCTTAAATTGTGGGTATTGGGTATTTTGTCCCAGCAATGAGGAAGAGGGGCAAGGAGATCTAACACAGGGTGGGGAAGAAAACAGCCTCTGGGTCCAGCTAGGCCCATCTAATCCCTGGCAGTCAGTGGTTCTCCAAATGGGTTCCCTGACCCAACAGCATCAGCAGGGAACTTGTCAGAAGTGCAAAGGGCAAGACCCAGCATCCCTTGGTTTAACAAGCCTCTAGCTGCCGGGCGTGGTGGCACACACCTGTAATCCCAGCACTCGGGAGGCTGAGGCAGGAGGATCGCTGTGAGTACAAGACCAGCCTGGGCTACATAGTGAGTTCCAGGGCGGTCTCAACTACATAGTGAAACCCTGTCTCAAAAAAACAAAACAAAACAAACAAGCAAAAAAAAAAGAAACCTCTAGCTGACCACAGTGCACACGAAAGTTTGGGTGTCATTGTCTCAATCCATCCTTCGGAGACGCAGTACACCATCATGGACA